ATATTATTCTGTCTCTAAATATGAATTCAAGAGGTCACACTTATCTGATGATTAAAAGCAAGTGTGCTTGGGATTCACTCCCTTGAGAGAGAGCTCAGAAGATCCTTGAGCCCGGGGCTCCATCCCCTTTTGTCAGGAGAGAAGGAAGTCTGAGCTCAGGTGGGTCTCGAGAGCTCCCTTGAATTAATTTGTTTGATTATAGGGGTTGCTATGGTAAAATGGACCACTAACTGTACTAGCATATGTTTGTACTTTGCCAATTTGGTTTATTCAATTTACTTATAGCGCATACCTTTGGACTGTGGGAGGAAACCAGAGTACCCAGAGAAAACCCCCATTGTAAAACATAACAGTCAACTTTATCAAATGAAATGAAAGTAGTTAACTCAAAATAAACTGAAAGGTAATTCTACTCATTTGAAAAGAGATTTGAATTCAGTGTTGAAGGTTATGAGTTAATTAAACACCTCATTACTTTAGCTTAAACAGAGTAAGTACACAGTACTCATTTAGATTAGTTTTAGAGCATAAATGGTTTGATGCAATCGTTTTCCTCAAATGGTTTGAGTTGCCTTAACTTTTTGGGTTTTAAAGTGCACGTGAGCAATTGGAGAACATGTAAACTCCACAAAGAAATGCCAACTGGCCCAGCTGGGACTCGAACCAATGATCTTCTTGCTGTGAAGCAACAGTGTTAACCACTGAGCCGCAGTGTCGCCCTATCCTGGATTAATCGAGGAAAGAGGTGGAGGAGCAGGGGTCGATGAGGGGATTCTTCAAGACAAAGATGACTAATGTAAGAAAATCTGGATATTTATTAAGCGTTTGGATTGGTCTGATTGGTAAATCATGTGACAGCTATTGTGAGACCAGCCGTGGTCAATCATAAGAATGTGATCCTCTCAATATGAGTTTATAAATAAACTTTACTTATATGTGGTTGGTAAGTACATTTTTTAATGTTTCGAAAGTCTTTCATGTACACCAAGTATAAAATTATTTGATTAAAAAAAACAGTAGAAATAGTAATATTAGAATATTATTCTATTTCGGCATGTATAAAAATGTAATTTAATCAACAGAATATAAAAGAGAATTTTCAGGATCATTACTTTATTTAAAAAAAAAAAGAATGGAATATTTTACAGTGACACATTGTCCGTTTTTGCAAATATTGCTATTACTATATAATATTGCTATTGCTATTGCTATATAAATGATAATAATTTTCTATGAATTTATGACACAACTGAACATTTTACTCATCACACATACCTAATTATAGCAATTCAGCAAATAATAACTTTAACATGGTCTTGTTTTCCAGCGCTGTATATGTCTTTACTGTAAATTTTAATAAAATGTTCAGGTACATAACTTTAAGTATTAATAATAATAATAAAAAAAACATCTTACTGATGATGCTTAGAAAAGTAAAAATCACACTTTAGTATCATTCATGTTCAATACTTCATATTAATGGTTTGTTCAAATGACCTTAACAATCAGAATGCACAAATACTTTAGTAGTAGCCTATAGTAACATTGAATTCAATTAATCTCACACAGAATGCTGAAGCTATTTGGACTTGAGTTTACGTAACAGGCACTTCAGAGCCTCTGACACAGAACCCAAAGGGCTTGTGGGAGATTTTTCCTTTATAACTCATAAAGATCTATTTCCAAACAGGGATCGCCATCCCTCAATGTCCCACATACTTCATCTCCCACACGATGTCCTGATGTGGGTGTTTCAAGCTTCTTGAAGTGCGCACAATGCACCCAAAATAGATTTTTGGATATTGCTCATAGAATATCTCCTCTCTTTTTTTGCCTATTTGAGTTTTGCAGAGACAATGATGCGGCTTTAGTGTATAACTCCACAGAGCACCTGAATCTCATCTTTAAAGTTGCAAAGGCACATGTGCTTAGAGCTCCTCCTTGTGGCATTTATAACACTTTACTGTGACAACAGAATTGATAAAAATGTGAAATGTCAATGATAAAATTGCACAAATGAATGACTGAATTAAAGGTTATGCTTTATGTCAGTGATAATGTAGTTGTAGTATAATTATTCACTTAACTATTGAGTAATATCAATTAATTACATGTACACACAATATAGTTAGAGTTAGAATTTGGGTTAGGTTTAAGGTTAGGTACTGTAATTAAGTATAATCCACTGTAATTACTATAGGAAGTGCATGGAACTACTTTACCTAAAATTAAAGTGCACCCAAATTAATAAATAGGAAAAAATAAATGTCTGAAAGCTTGGAGCATGCAATAAATGCACAAATCCAAGCCAAAACTGTAACCGTTTTAATTGTGAACATTTTTATATTTGTGATTTCTATGTTTCAAACTATTATATGAGTATTGTAGTTTTATTTATAGCTTAAATTTAGTTTAGTGTTTTTATATATTAAGTTTTCATTGCTATTTTAGTTAAAGTGTTGTTAAAACATGTATGAAAATTCTCTGGATTTACTATATGAGTAAAATGTTTATGCTTAGCTCATTTAAAGTTCAAAACATTGGTATTGTGAAAATTAATATAAAAAATGTCTGAGAATAGGCAGCACAGTGGCTCAGTGGTAAGCACTGTTTCCTCACAGCAAGAAGGTCGCTGGTTCAAGCCCCGGCTGGGTCAGTTGGCATTTCTGTGTGGAGTTTGCATGCTCTCCCTGTGTTCCCCCATAGTCCAAAGACATGCGGTATAGGTGATTTGAATAAACTAAATTGGCCGTAGTGTATGTGTGTGAATCAATGATTGTATGGGTATTTCCCAGTGCTGGGTTGCGACTCGAAGGGCATCTTTTGCGTAAAACATATGCTGGATAAGCTGATGGTTCATTCTGCTGTGGCAACCCCTGATAAATCAGGGATTAAGCTGAAGGAAAATTAATGAACGAATGACTTTTTGAAAACATGGCAAAAATGTATTGGATCAAAAAGGGGTCCCGGCCCATAAGGGGGCCTCAGCGAGCTCTGTAGGGGTCGCATCCACTTTTAAAAAAAAAAATAGCAGTGGACAATTAGTTCATTTTATTTCCTGGCTAACCAAAAAATTTACAAATTTGTAATTCATCCTCCACAAAAACGTTGGAGTCTCACTGATTTGTCTTCAGCTGCAAATACTAATGACCTAAGCATACTAGACCCAAGTGAGGAAGCTACAAACATTTCAGGCCACAGCGCGTCCAATACTGGAGACACAAAATGCAGAAAATACCAAGATAGTTATCAGAACTATGGTTTTATTCTTTTTTCTCGAAGCAAAGTGTCCCTGACACAGCCACAGTGTATTACCTGCGTAAGTTCTTGCTAACGAATGCATAAACCCATCCAAATTAATAAAACATTTGCTATTGACTTATCCATAAATACTGCGACTAGCCCAGAGCATTTTTTTGAGCACAGGGCAAAATAATTGCAAACTTATTTGAACGATAATATAAATAAATCTTGAGGGGGGCCTTCCAATATTTTCAGAGAGAAAAGGTGGTCTTAGGTAAAAAAAGGTTGGGAACCACTACTCTAAATGACAACATCAGTAAAAAAAAATGTATTTACTTAAACACAACTTTATATTTTGGTGTCATGTTTTCATACATGCTTAATCAAATTTTAGACAATGCAATACTATTTTTTTTTTACTTCAGAATCTTTAAAAAATGAACATTTGATGGAAGAACCCTGATTTTCAATTCACAATCAAAGAAAATATTTGTTATTTTATTCAATTGCAACTTGCTGAAAAAAAAGCTGCAAAATGATCATTAATATACTGTAGCATCGATATATTATATCAAATTTAAAATAAATGTCATCAGACCATTATATAATTAACCAAATAATACTTTTAGTAAAATGTATTCACTTTTAGTAATACCCATATCTAATAAATATAGAGAAACTGTTTTTCAAGCAGTCTCTTAATATCTTCCATAATGTGTATGGCCTGTCAATTTAACACCTTTATTAATTAAAAAGTTGAATTACACAATGCATATAAACATTTTCAATCAGCGTGTTTTTTTTTTGTTTTTTTTTGCTAAATGAATGTGTATTGATCAAATCATGCAAACTAAAGATTAAATGGTTTATTTACTCCGGAATGAATCTGCCATTTGAATTAATCAAATTAATAAATCTGTCATTTTCTCATTAAGACATCTATTGGCAACTACTGCCATTTTAGCAAGGAACTGCTGATCTACCTGCATGTGTATGGACTGTATCCTATATGTTTGTGTGTAATTCTATTTTTTTAGTATATTGTAAAGCTACTTTTTTGTTAATGTAATTATTTTCTCATTTAACATAATAAATAGTCATTAGTAGGAAATTATTAATAAATAAAGGAATTGATTTTAGGTTGTGATTTATAATACATTTTTATTGTATCATTAAACAGAACATGCCTAAAACTTGGTTGAAAACTTTTTTTAAAAGAGTAGGTGAGCCCATTTATTTGATGTTTTACTAAAGCATTCGAGCATTATGGATGTGAAATTTGCATTTAAAACTCAAAGCATAATTTTTCAAAGAAAGTATAAGTTAACATTACATTGAAACATCTGTTCATATTTTCCACAAAAAACTAACCACATAGGATTGGGATTAGAAAATGATCAATATTTTTTATATTTTAAATGATAAAAATAAACATGGATGTGACCATAAAAGTTTGCGAGTTTATTCATGATTGATTTTTTTACTTTATATTTTTGTATTTATTGAGAAAAAAGCTTCGTTATTGATGTGACAGATGTGAAATTGGCACTTGTGTGACTTTGCTAAATCAAATATAATTGTTTGAAAACATTAACAGAGACATTTTTAAGTACTTGACATTTGCTTGGAATTGCTCATATTACAGTTGAACAACTATGTTGATAAATGCATTGAAATTCTACCAGCAACTCTACTTGTTATGCTAAACTGTGCTGCACACACAAGTTAAAATGGGCTGCTAAGAGCGAGTTGCGTACCTGTTTAACTTTTGTCAGTTCCTGCAGCATCTTATGATTAAGGCTCTCGGATTCTGCCAGCTTATCCTGTCAGAAAAGAGATCTTCGCATGAGTCAGCATTAGCGTTAGCTCACTCATTCGCACAAATAGGATTAATGAGAGCCTCGCTCAATAACACATGAATGAATGTCACACATTCCAGCATGTGACAGGGTGTTTAAAAGGGGTGTGATAATGGTACCTGCAGTCCCTTGAGCTCCCTCAAGGCCTCGATGTGCTCTTTCCTTAGCCTCTCCATCTCATCCAGATCATCAGAGTCTGATAATGATGGCTTAAATAAGACAAAATAATACAAAATTAAATAAAGAACACTGCATTAAATATTTACAAATAAAACATTATATGTTTTATATAATCAGTAATAAAATAAATAATTAAAGTCTATGAGAGAAGTGTTTTCTGCTCAAAAATGTTGCATTTATATAAATCAAAAAATGCTAAAAAGAGCAGTATTGAGAAATATAGTTTTATTTGAAAATAGCTGTTTTCTATACAATTTATGTAATTTAATGTTGTTTTATATTGTACAATCACATGTTATAAATAGAATATAATATATGCTAAAACACCCAGGCTCATTCTGAAAGCGTACCGCTATATACATTTCTGGAGAGTACCAAATACCTCCCAGGAGCTACGTTTTTTTTTTTTTTTTTTTTGCAGTTTTTGTTTTTCGCGAATCCACCTGAGGACGCTGTATATGCTTTTTGAGCTCTCAAATTTCGCTCGCTAGTGTCATTCGCACCTGCTGTTCTCCCATAAATCCACCATGGGCCGCTGTCAACTGACTGACTGATTGACTGACCCACTCACCTCCTTTCCTAAACTCCACCAATAGGGTTTTCAAAAGCACAGATTGACCAGCACCCACCCACTTCCCTAATCCCAACCAACAGTTTTAAAAAGCAAGCCAAAAAAGAAAAGCCTTCGCCTGATTTTTACCACATTTCAGATTTTACCACTTTTTCATCGTTATTTCTATGTTTTTTTATGTAATGTGTGTGTGTGTGTATTTATATAGCGCATTTATTGTGTATGGCCATACACCCAAAGCGCTTCACAATCATGAAAGGGGCCTCTTCACACCACAACCTTTGTGCAGCATCCACTTGGATGATGCAACGGCAGCTACAGGACAACGGCGCCAGTGCGCTAACCACACACCAGCTATTGGTGGAGTGGAGAGTGCAAGCCAATTCGGTGGAAGGGGATGATTGTGAGGCCATGATCGTAAGGGCCGATAGAGGGACTTTGGCCAGGACACCGGGGTTAAACCCCTACTCTTTCACGAGAAGTGCCATGGGATTTTTAATGACCACAGAGAGTCAGGACCTCGGTTTAACGTCTCATCCGAAAGACGGCGCCCACTGACAGTGTAGTGTCCCCTTCACTTTTACTAGGGCATTAGGACTCATACAGACCACAGGTTGAGCGCCCCCTGCTGGCCTCACTAACACCACTTCCAACAGCAACCTAGTGTTCCCTAGTTCCCATCCAGGTACTGACCAGACTCAGCCCTGCTTAGCTTCAGTGAGTAACTGATCTTGGGCTGCAGGGTGACATGGCTGTGGCTGTGTACGTTTTTGGCTTATGTTTTTGTCTTACCTGCTTTCTGGAACTGTTCTTCATCGGACTCAAACCCTGTTGTCGTGGTTAACTGATCTCGGTGTCTCAAGTCAAAGTACATGGCGAGCTAACTGGACAAACTGGTAACAATGGAAAAGCCATCCATACGAAGGCACGTGGTCAGCTGATAAAGACAAAATGCAGCCATAGGTTCTTCTGGCTACATAATTTGCGAACTCCAGAAACGCATATAAGGCTACGTTTTCAGAATGAGTCTATGTTGCAACCAACCTCTGCAAAATACAAATTATATATGATTATATATGATATTATAATGATCATAATTGTCTATAAAATATCACACCGTTCTTTCAAATTTTAAATATTTGACATTTCTGTCCTTTCAATGTACTTTCTATTAAATTAATTTTAATTTAAGCAAAATATATTTATTTAGATATTAAAACAAGAAGAACTGTTTCTTTAACTTGAAACTAAAATAATACAATTATTTTTTAAAAATGTTCAGTTTATTTATTACAGCAATTAGTTTTACATTAAATATGTTAAAATTTAAAAGATTGATTTAAAGAAGCAATTATATTTTACTAATATTCACTATTACTTCTATCATTTTTCTCTGCATTTATTATGGACTTGAATGCAAAACAATACAACCCATTTTTGATTACCGTAGGGTTTGATGGAGACTCAATGAGATCATCTGATGTCAATCTTGCTACTTCCTGTTCTGAATCCAACTTGGACGGTTGTTTAAAAAGTTCCTTTGTCACTGTATCAAAATCTACCGGAAAAACCCACGTTAGGAAAAAACATTTAGTCATAGAGAATGAATAACAATGTTTTATTAGAAGAATTTGTTTTATTAAAAGTATAAACCTACAATAATCCACTGAATATAACACATAAAATACAACATAATGAAAACTAACAGAAAGGTTTTCTTACCTCCATAAGCCACTGTCCCTCCAGCATTTAAACGCAGTCTTTCTCTCAGCGTCAAGACCTGAGAATCAGCCGGCTTCAATCCAAGCACCTCCAAAGTCTGTGGACAGAACAACAACCATTATAGAACATGTTTGCACACACTCACGCTTCAACGTCTGTGCACAATCTATAAATAATAATTACAATATTATATTTTATCTCATTTTAGTGTAATTATACATGAATAAATCATTTAAATTTCAATATTAAATATTATACATAAAACATTTTATTTTTATTAAGAAATAAAGTACACATTACTGTGAAATAAGCTTCTGGAGTTAATAGTCTTATTAAAATGTGTCTATTCTCTACATTGTTTGTCCAGAACAACAGATCTGATGAGTGAACCCACTGAAGCTGTAGCACAGTCTCTATTGCTTTCCCATCACACCACAGTAGGAGTGGATACAGGAGAGCATGCTAACTGCATACATTGTCCAACAGGGAATAAATCCCCTGGTACACAATAGTAAAACCATAAAGGATCAATCCAGTACTGAGACTGTGGGGTAACCAATCATTAAGGCCTACTGGAAGGACAACCAGCATATGACCTTGCTATAAACGCTAGATGTTTCTGTACTTCTGTGATTGGACAGATACAAGATGGATGGTACCATCCACCTATTTTTTGTGTATCTCATTAAAAAAAAAACACTGGATGGAAACCCCCAAGATCTGCATGAAAAACAAATATGCAATGAAAGCTTATTCAAACAAATGACTCGTGTAAATATTTATCCGATATGTGATCTACATTTGTGAGTGGGCTTGATAACCACCTGTAGGTGCTTCATATGCACCAGACACTTTTCAACACTGTATTTTCTGAAAATGTGCAATTTTTTAAATAGTGTGCTTCATGCAGGAGTGTGGGCTTGATAAACCACCTTGTAGGTGATACACTTTGTCCTCTTCATATGCACCACACTTTCTTTTCAACAATCCATTTTATTCAGGAAAATATTGGGCAATTCTTAATGTGCTTTACACAGGTGAATGGGCTTGACAAATCACTTTTAGGGATTGTTCACATATCGTGATTAAGTTTGCGTGGAAAGTGCGAGCATGTCGCTTCCTTCATTTTTAATCAAAGACAGTAAAAAATATGGATGTAGTATCTGTGACGGCACCCATAGGTTTCTTAAGAGCGCAAATAAAGCTACAAGTAGGAGTGGCCAACTGTTACCATTTTGTTCGTCATTGTGCCCAACAGGAGTTACCAAAAAAGGGCAAAGAGGCAAAGCGTCATAGGAGCTAAAAATGCCTGATATTATTTTGCTTAGACGGACTTTTCTTTGGGAGAAACGCTTAATACCTCATTACCTGGCATTCTGGAGTGTATTTAAGTTTTAAAGAAAATTATAAATGATAAATTATCTAAAATAAAATAAATACATTTACAGATATGGTATTTAAATATATAATTTTACTCATCTGGAAAATGGAGGCCACTTGAATTGTTTGTGAACACAAATTAGTGCCCACAGCATGTCATATTATCTGATAATTGTAGGAAATATTTCCAAAGGCAACTGACTGTGTACAGCCACATAAAACAACACAAAACTACAATGAATATGCCGAAATCAGCGGCTAATCGGAATCAGCTGAGGTGAAATGACATCAACCAGCAAGACCTACCTGTCATTCAAGTGGCCACGCCCTTAATTATGTAGACTTAATATAATTTAATATAAACGAAACGCATGAGTTGTTAAAAAAATTCACCCCCTCAAAGTTGTCATGAAGGGTAATATTATCTGTATACACCAAAATAGTTTTTTGTCGCAGGCTGTAAACACCTTTTTTCTGCTAAGTTGGCCATTTTAACATTGGGGTCAATAGAAATGTGCTCTAATGTGGAGCCAGGACTAGCGGAATGTCAATGCATTGCAGTTTCAGTTACTTCTGTATTAGCTTCACGAGGGAGATCGGGAGGTTGGCGCTTGATTTCAATGCACTTTGCGCTTCTGAACCTTTGCTGTCTGTCATTACTAGGTGACCATCAACCATTTTCTCAGAGGATGACAAGCTGACAAATCATTGCTGCAGCTCTGATACAAGTTTTATTTACGGAAAAAATTAAAAACGCACTGCAGTGTTTAGGTGTTCTGTGTTTGTCTGATGTGATTCATTCATTCCTTCATTATCATTTCAGCATATTCCCTTTATTAATCTGGCGTCGCCACAGCAGAATGAATCACCAACTTATCCGGCATATGTTTTACACAGCAGATGCCCTTCCAGCTGCAACCCATTACTGGGAACATCCATACACAATCATTCACACATACACTACGGAAAACTGAGCTTACACAATTCACCTATACCACATGTTTTTGGACTTGTGGGAGAAACCAGGGCACCTGGAGAAAACCCACACTAACATAAGGAGAATATGCAAACTCCACACAGAAATGCCAACTGACCCAACTAAGGCTTGAACCAGCGATCTTCTTGCTGTAAAGTGATTGTGCTACTCGCTGTGCCACCGTGCTGCCCTGTCTGATGTAACTATTATATTGGAATGTGTAAATTCAATACAGAGTATAAACCTGATCTGTCACGTAACTCATTTTTAAAGGTTGAGATGTTTTCAACATGGTTCGCCTGAAAACGTGACCATGTCGCAAGATGTATGCCTCCGTTGGAAGTGATGAACTTGCTTGTGCAAAAAACCCAATATGTGAACGACCCCTTAGAAGTCAGACTCTTTTTCTCTCCTTACATCTTCTTATAAGCTTCCCATTCCTTTTGAAAAAATTGTGCAATTGTGAGTGTGCTCCACACAGCTGAGTATTTTTCTTTTAAAAAAATAAAAAGTCTACACTAACAGATTTGTAATAGCATCCATATACTGCTGCTCTCTGATATTATTCATATACTGTACCATGTTAATGTTTTCAAAACATTGGCATGGAAATTCATTAAGTAAATTTACAACTTTGGATAGAAATGTACATTGTAAAAACGTCTTATGTTTCCTTAATATATATGGTGAATAACTGTCAAATGTACTTTATCAGAATTCCTTGCATGACAATTCAATTTTTATGTTTTTTTTTTTTTTTTTGACATTACTATGGTTATTTAAGGATATTTTTCCTCATCGGTTATGTTGTATCCTATGCTGAACAAATAATGTGTATTTATTTTTAACTGTAAGATTCTGGCAACTACAGCTGCCAGTTTTTTACCATAAATTTAACAGAATATGTTTTTTGCAGTGTAACTAATGTTCTCAAATTAAAAGGATTAGATTTTAAAGACCTGGTCGATTTTTTCGGGCTTGAGTTCGAAGCTTTGGACGGAGCACAGAGGTTTGGAGGGTCTGCTGGGGTTACAGGCAGCGGATGCATCTGAGCAAAGAGAAAGAAAATGAGTTAAACTGCAAGCACATAATCTCCAAAAAATCTCCTTTGCAAAAACAGCTGTTTGTGCTTTTGGTAAAGCACATCACATTTTTTAAGACGGTTACATAAGTCCATGAGGGTATCATTTGTTTGAGTAGATTTGTAGCAGTAGTGGCACGAAAGAAAAGAGTATTTGGGTATTTAAGCCACACTTAAAAATGCACGCATGTTTCTGCGTTATATAACAAGTGTTTTGTGAAAATCTTGTGCATTTGTACTGTTTTTGGTCGTCGCACATTGGACACGGTTATAATAATCATTTGTTTGCAGATGACGTTTGCTTTGGATTTTTTTACACACACAGCCTCTCTAAAATTTTCAACCACTAAGATAAAATTTTTTTTAATAAATAAATAAAAATGTACATAAAATAATAAAATAAATACAAATTATATACATTAAATAAAAATATAATATTTATTGTATCTGTTTAGTTGTACTATTTAAAAAAAAAAAAAAAAAAAATATATATATATATATATATATATATATATATATATATATATATATATATATATATATATTAATATATTTACTTATATTTAAAATATATTAAAGCATTAAAGTTTATATTTTAAAAATATTTTGTATTTTTTCTCCCTTTAAAATATACTTTAAAAAATTATTATTTAATAAGAATATTTTATTGTTATCAATATCAAAACAGTTTGAAATCATTGAGCAAAGAGTCACTTAAGTGTTCAAAAACACCAGGGACAATTCAGGACAGCAGTTTAAACTCATTCTAATATTACTTTATTAAATTTGATCCTTCGTGGTGGCTTAGATAAATGCTTTTGTGTACAAGCAGGAATTAATATTGTTTGTGCAGACCGTGTTTTTCCTCGATAAACCCTCCCCATCTAGATGAACAGTAAACTGAAAGCACAATGCTTTGCTCAAAATAGTGCCAACCCTGTCAAATCCTCTTACGCTGAATAACAGCACAGTGTAACTGAGCTCACAGGTATGTACTCTCACTATGAGCTCACCATCTCATCGTTTATCGTTCACTCGTTCATTATCCGCATATTTGTTTATCCATTTGGGAAGAGGATTTATTTCCTCACAATGATTTCTTGGAATTTCAAAGCCAATATTTAGAATAATATCCATTGCCGTGACAGATTTGGCATTAAATCTCAATGAGGATTTCATGCAACGTGAAGTGATTTGTTTTCATTATCTACGTCTGTGAATATGCACATGCAGTTCTTTATGCAAAACAACGGAAAAAGTCCTAAGGTTAGAGTTTAGACAAAACATTGAGAAACTGTAATGTTTTTTATTTCATATTCCATGTTCGTTACGCAGTACAGCTGGTGTTGAAATTTGATTTATTAAAGGTGCTCGTCGATGAAATGCAACAATGTCCAGAATCGAGTTCAGTATCCTGGATTTCACCTGGAGTTATGTGTCATGTTGATGGTAATATCCATTTTTAGATTCATGCCAGCTGGATTATCTTGGGTTACAAACGCCACGTCTCATCAGCACACGGCTGTCTAAATGTCTGCAGAACAGGTAGTCTAATCCCGGTTGTGCCTGAATGTTTCTTATCTACGAGTTTCAGATTTACAATGCATCAGAATGTGAAAAGCTGCACAGACCAGTGCTGTGAGGTTAGTTTAAAGTAAAGTATAGAAGTTATGGGTTCAATAAAAAACTGAAACATTAGAAAGAACAGGACTATTTGAGACAGCAAAGCTTTCATTAGTGTCATTTATAGTGTTAATATTGGGTAGTATTAGTGTTAATATTATTGTAGTTTTACTTTTTTAAATTAGTTTTTATTTAGATACTATCTTTAAATTTGCTGTAAATTTCAGTTTATTTAGAGTTTCATTCCTGTTTTTATAAGTCTTTTAGCTTTTATTTTGTGAACACCAGCCGGCAGCTAGCTCTTTGCAACTCTTGCATGGTCGACCACTGAAGCTAAGCAGAGCTGTGCCTGGTCAGTACCAGCATGGAAGACCGCATAGGAAAGCTAGGTTGCTGCTGGAAGTAATGTTAGTAGGGGGCGCTCAACCTGTCCTAATGCCCCAGTATGTTGATGGGGACACTATACTGCTCAGTAGGCGCTGTCTTTTGGATGAGACGTTAAACCAAGGTCCTGACTCTCTGAGATCGTTAAAAAAAAAAACCAGCATTCTGGACAAATTTGCTTACTGGCCTGTCCATCATGGCCTCCTAAAAAACCTCTATCACAATTGGCTTTATCACGTTCTCCTTTCCACTAATTAGCTGGTGTGTGGTGTGCGGTCTGGCGCAATATAGATGCCATCGCATCATCGAGACAGATGCTGCACACTGGTTGTGGATGAGGAGATTCTCCTCAAAAATGTTTGAAGTGCTTTGAGTGTCCAGAAAAAAAGAATTATATAAAAGTAAGGAGTTATTAATATTATTAAGGAATTATTATTAATATAATTTTATAATTATTATTAACATTTTTGTTATATTATTATTATTAACATTTTTATTTACTATTTATATAGTTGGTTTCAGATTTAGTAATTCTATTATTAACTAGAGTTAACTGAATGTGTCGAGTTGTGCGAACCTTTTAGATGACACTGAATCTAAATGCATTCAAATGTAACAGTTAAAAGTAAAAAAATAAGCAGAATTTAGACAATCTTTTTCATATTTAAAGATCATACTGTAAATGCAGTCAAGCATTTCTAGCTTAAATACTTTTGGCAAATGAAGAAAAGTTCATTAAATATATAAGATGTCTTTATAAATTTTTAGTTTTTAATTAATTTTTGTAGCTTTTCCCTGCTTTTTGAACATGTTTAGAGACATTTTTACCAAACATTCTCTCTCACTACATCCAATTTATGTTACTATGAGATAATAGCTATAGATTCAAGTTATTCAGTCACACTTTAAAATAATGTTCCAATAGTTAATGTACTGACTAACATGAACTACGAGCAAACAATACTTGTATCTCATTTACTAATCACAGTTCAACATTTACTTATCCATTAGTTATAAGTATCAACCCAGTTAATAAACTGAGTTATCAAGAAGTAACAGTGAACAACTTTATTTTCTTTAGTGTTCAAAAAGATAATTAAAAACTGCAATTAATGTATTGTTTGTTGTTAATCCATGTAACTAATACATTAACTAACATTAACTAATACAACCTTATTGAGAAGTGTTACCAGTTTTTGTTGTTTTCATTCTTGGAATTAATAGTTTAACACATTTCCATTGTAATTCTAATTTTTTTTGTGGTTTATACCAGAATATTTGTCCTTTTAAATAATCGTCTGTGGTAAAGAACAATCAGACACAAACACTGGAAACAGAATTAAATCTCTAAATAGGAGTTCAAGTCTACTGTAAGTAAATACAGGACTGCAGTACCAGCGTTGGCCACTGTGGTGCAGGCACTCTCAGGTGAGGTCACGGGGGCAAGAACAGGCTTCCCTGTTGCTGCTCGTACCTGTAGGAAAGACACAAATTAATGGAAACATTAACCACTGTCTCTGAAGCATTGCTAACAGACCTTATTCAGTCTGCTGCTAAGACAAGGCCAAAACAAGGTTGTGACAGATAGAAGTATAGTCACTGAATGTCGGTAGTCCTTAAGGATTAAAACACAAAATGCTATGCTACAAACATGTAGCACATTTTACAGTTTGTGGAGACTCCAAACACCCCAAGAGACAGCCTACATGAACTACGCATACAGGTTAAAAACGTTCAGAGACTTAAAATCACTGGGTTGTCATTTCACAAAGTTGACAAATTCAAGCAAAAACTAATGGGACTGGCTCACCTTATAGTTTTCTGATCCCTGTCAGTAAAATCTTGTAATCTATTTAAATTGAACATGTTTACAATTAGTTAATCCAACTACTATGCCAGCCTTTTAAAAAAATCAACATAAACATCCTTTAAAAATGTAAACATGACTTAAAGTTAAAATGAGCACTTATCTGACGAGCTAATATCCCGACATAAATATTTTACAAAGACAAATTGAAAATTATGTCTTATGCCTTCTCTAATCTAAACAGTCACTATCTTCCTAAGGTCTTTGCCCTTGTAAATTTGTGAAATGAAGACTTCGAAATGATCATTATACGCTGAATAATAGACCTGTGGTCAAAAACTGGTGAGAAATTGATTATGAGATTTTTAAAAGGCACCAATATTCTCTCTATAATAGATTCTGGGCAGCAGATGATGCTGTATGATTTTTAAATAGCCATTCTCTGCTTGCATCCATGTCCTTATAAAAACCACTTGAACCTAAAATAATCATTAATGAAGTTAGGAAAGGTTAAAGCAAATTATAAGATTATATAACAGTGTATATAAATAAAAATTATAAAAGTGTTCATAGTGAGTGGTGTTTATATTAATCTCGTGGCATAAAAGTCAAAATACATGACTCAGCTGAGAGCACAAGAGCTATTCCATGTGAGCATTTATCATTCATTTATTTGTTTTCCTTCAGCCTAGTCTCCGATTTATCAGGGGTCGCCACAGCAGAATGAACCGCCAAGTACTCCAGCATATGTTTTTTACACAGCGGAAACCCAACCCCTCGCAACCAAGTACTAGGAAACACCCATACACTCACATTCACAAACCCTCATACACCATTTCCAATTTAATTTACCCAATTCACTTTTAGTGCATGTCTTTGGACAGTGGGGGAAACCAGAGCACCAATGGGAAACCCACATGAACATGGGGAGAACATGCAAACTCCACACAGAAATGCCAACTGTCCAGTTGGAACTTGAACCACCAACCTTCTTGCTGTGAGACAACAGTGCTAACCACTGAGCCACCGTGCCGCTCTAATGTGAGCATTTAAGTGTACAGTTAAAAACTAGCCTAGCCTGTCATAAATTAAGCTCAAAATTGATTCAATATAGGATAGCGAAGCAATCTGAAATCACAAAACATATTTCTCAAATGATTTTCACCACAGCTCTGCTGATAAAGGTGTATGACTCTCTGGGTGATTCTCAATATCCTTCCTCATTTCCTTTCTCATCCATTCTTCATCCTACGACCCGGAAACCAATCAAGTCTTGAAGGACATTTTAATTCTCTAACTGCACAGCGAGGAGGCAAGAATCGAGGACAGGGCACTGCAAAAATGCACTAAAACAAGCGAAATGATCCGTCAATGGGATAAGTGAAATAATAATGTTTTTGCTATGAAATGAAATTATTTTGAATAAAAACAAATTCTTTTGAAGTGAGGAGGCTTGTGTGAGGGTATGCAAATATTTTATTGACTAAACGTGATGCACACCTGCAACAAAAAATTGCGAACTAAGGCAGAAAATTCAAACACACATTAATGTAATTATTAAGCATAAAGTTACAGTAAATGTGGTTTGTTTTCTTAGTTTTTCTAGTTTTGATGTAACTTTTTAGCACAAATAAAAAAAGTTCATAACTGGAGCTAATCCATTGTTAATAACAAGTTTAAAAAACATACAAATTTGGTGTTTTGTAATGGTTGAAATTATTATCTATAATATTCAGGAATTCTGAGCCATAACAAGACGTGTACAATAATCATTAAATGATTAACTCTAGTGCAGGTGACGCGGTGGCGCAGTAGGTAGTGAGGTTGCTGGTTCGAGCCTCTGCTGGGTCAGATGGCGTTTCTGTGTGGTATTGCATGTTCTCACCGCGTTCGCGTCGGGTTCATCCAGGTGCTCTGATTTCCCCCACAGTCCTAGGACATGCGGTACAGGAAAATTGGGTAAGCTAAATTGTCGCTACTGTATGAGTGTGAATGAGTGTGTATGGATGTTTTGCAGAGATGGGTTGCAGCTGGAAGGGCATCCTCTAAGTAAAACATGCTGGATAAGTTGGCTGTCCAGATTAATAAAAGGACTAAGAAGAAAAGAAAATGAATGAATGAATGAATGATTAACTCTAGCATTTAATTCTCTGAGCACAAACAGTTCTTCGTATAATTAGCACGTCTTGTGTGTGTTGTATTGCATTTGTATAAGTGTATTCCCTGTAAGTCGCTTTGGACAAAAGCATCTGCTAAATGACTAAATGTAAATGTTGACACTTGGAAGTGACGGTAAATAAGTGTGGATATACAGTTGAATTATTGGCCCTCCTGTGAATTTTTCTTTCTTTTTCCAATATTTCCCCACTTATTTTTAACAAAGCAGGGAATTCTTCACAGTATTTCCTAAAAAAAATCTTCTGAAGAAAGTCTTATTCGTTTTATTTTGTTAAGAATAAAAGCAGTTTAAAAAAAGAAAAAAAACATTTTAAGGTCAATAATATTAGCCCCTTTAAGCCCCCTCATTATACGATGATTTGCCTAATTACCCTAACTTGCCTAGTTAACTTAATTACCCTAGTTATGCCTTTACTGACATCATGGCAAAGATAAAGGTAATCAGTTATTAGAAATTAGTTCTTAAAACTATTATGTTTAGAAACGTGTTGAAAAAAGCTACAGGGTGGCTAATAATTTAGGAGTGCTAATAATTCTGACTAATAATTTCACTACTCAATTCCTCTGTCCTCGCATCTTTTCCTTGTGTCTTTCCCTTAATCCTGAGGGTAGAAAGCGAGAATGCACAAACTGAGAACTTACCTTAGTAAGTTCAACAGAAGGCAACGTCTCACTTCCAGAATTGGGAGTGTTGGCTATTTTGGGAACGAGGCCTCCAGGTAAAGCTGCTCCACTCAGTCCAGAGGGCTTGGTTTGGGGAGCTGGATGATTTGTACTGCAGGAGGGTTGAAGGGAGATAGGGCTGTGTGGTCCACTGCTGGAGCCTGACGAAGATCTTCGTCTGATAAATGCGATTTCTACTGTAGGGTCTGGTCTGTGGGGTCAAGTCACATTTACAGATATTCTTGTAAACATTACTGTAGACCCATCATTCAGATGCATTTGTTTTGGATGGAAACAAACTGTCCTAATATATCAAGCATATTTGAATTACGTTGTCATTATGGAAAGGTTGTGTTCATATGAAAATATCCTAACCTGAGTTTGGTTCGAGTAAGTATGCTTTTGGCTTCTTCATGTGTTACTCCAACAAGTGACTCCTTGTTGATGGATATAAGCTGGTCCCCGGACTTTAGCCTCCCGTCCTAGAGTCACACAGGGAAAAACATTTTATTTTTACTTTATTGTAATTCAGTTTAGTCTTCTTAATTTTAAATTGATGTTCAAAAGTTTTGTTTTTGACAAAATTTTATAAGGTCTTTACTAATAAATGTTAATAACATATTTTATTTAATTAATTTATGCATTGCTGTGATGACTAATCCTATTATTCTTCACTGCTGTATGATCCTTCCAAAAATTATTCTAATTGGTGGTCAAACAATTCTTATTATTATATTAATAATAATAGTAAAAAAATAATAACAACAATACTATAAATAATAAAAATAATAATAGTAATAATAATAGTAAAAAATGCATAAATAAATATTAATAGTAACAACAACAACAACAATAGATAACAATAATAATAATAATAATAATAACAACAATAGATAATAATAATAACATTAATAATAATAATAATAATATTAATAATTATAATAATAACAATGATAATGTTCAAATACTTTTTGGCAGTCGCCTCCTTGAATTATTTCCTGAACGAACACCATTGGCCCCTCTGCACGATTAGCTCCGCCCCTGATGACCAGGCCTAACCCCGTCCCTTTGGCAACACAAATCAATTGAATCATGCAGTCTCTGCGGAAAGAGAGCCAAACGTAAGTGCTTAGATAAACAGCAAAAACAATTAGATTTGAGTGATTCGATTTTCCCCATTATTCATAATTAATCTTTTTGTGGGATTTCACTCGCACTCAGGCTAGGCCAGGTGTTTTCAGGCTCAAGCTCCTCTATCAGGAGACTATTAACTGCAATAGTGTCAGAAAGCTACTGGATTCTGTCATATCTTTTAACTGGAAAGCTAGTTTAAAGGGGCTACACTGTATGTCAATGTGTGAGTGCCTTGCAATGGAACTAAAAAAATGAGACCCTTCCCAGCTTCCTAGGTTGCACATGAAAGCCTGTAGACGGACTTTTAAGCAAAGGAAAAGTTAATTTGCTAGGAATCTCAAAAGTATGTGAAATTTATGTGCAAAAGATCATGCACATGCAATAAGATGCTGACTGCAGCTCACTTAGTGAACACCACTGTATTAACAAGGGTTTCTGACCTCATATAGCACACAAATCTCCAGCATGTAATTGTAGTTCTTACGTGCAGACTTGTGGAGATGGGGAGTTGATGCAGGCGGTGGTGTACACTGGGCTTGGTTCTTTAGGACTCAGAAGCAGAGGACTGGTTGATCTAGAAGATGAGGAGGAGGACGCTGTGTCTGTCATCTTTCCTAATGACAAGAGATTTTCTTTTTTATTATAATTAAAAAAAAAAAAAAATGTGTAGAAACAAAAACGCTTGAAATTTATCATGAAATTACAGATTTTTTACATTTCAACTTTCCGCCTCCCACCCCCAAAGCATTCAAATTCAGTTGAACAGCTAAATATATTGGTATACATGGGCTGAGACAAATAAAACCATGTACTGTATTCTACATACATTAATAGCTGTCATTGGGGTGGTACCTTTTCAAAAGGTACACATTTGTACTTGAAGGGTCCATATTGGTACCTCAAAAATATATTTTAAACCTACAAATTTTAAGAGGAGCTCTTTTGTACTTTTTAAGTACTTATATGTACCCTTGAGGTATCAAAATGGACCTTTTAAGTACAAATTTGTACCTTTTGAGAAGGTACCACCCCAGTGACAGCTTACGAACCTTCAGGTGTAGAGTGAGAGGTATTTGCTTGTGCCACTGTAAGGTTTTGTTCCAAAAACTGTATAAAACGATCCTAAAATTATTAATTTAAAAATTAGCCCTTTAGACTGTAGGTCAGTGGTTTCAAACGGTCGTACAGGGGCTGCCTTTAAGTGGTACGCAGAGTAATCCAATATGTCATATGGACATACATCATATATTTTAAAATTGATCAACAATGGTTCATATTTTAATATGATGACATTTAGCCTATATTTATGAGGTCCAAGCAACATTTCCAGGTTTTGATGAATAGGATACTTAAAACTTTATATTTACGTATAGAAGTTTTCCCTTTACTTTTTCAGAACAGTAGCCTACAATTTCAAAAGCACGTTTTAATTTAAACGTTGACATTTTATTATCATTTTTTTTAATTTTATTTTTTTTTAAGCACAGTACAGTGTTAATGTTCAAACTATTTATAAGGGTTAAAGTGGCTGATAATAATAAACATTCTTAAAAATAGTAGTTAATCTGCCACTGCTGTAGGTGATTCCTACCAGAGCAATGTAATGTGTCAAATCTTTCAGTAGTGGTCAATGGAGAGACTATCTATGTTCTTCCAATAGAGTGCTATCAAACACCTTGAAATAACAAGACACATGTCAATAATTTTAATTTGATAACCTGGTAATGAAAAACTTACAGGAAATAAACCCAAAGCACATATTGCAGGGGTAACTGGAATTGGTTTTGAAATAATTGAGGAGATTAATGTTACTACGTTTTGCCAGAAAATCTTATCCACTTCATATTCAGATACAATGAAACAATGTTCCTTTATGTTTTTTTGGCGTTTGAAATATATATTTGGGATGTTTGGGTTAAACCTGTTTAGTTTTTCAGGTGTGATATAAGTATGCATCGCCCAGTTATATTGGATCATTTTAAATGTAGTATTAATTGAAACATTCTGGGCTTTAACACATACATGATTCCATTATAAATCTGTCTGATCATATTGCAAATCTGTACACGAAGAATCTTTCTTGGATTCTGGTGTTTCTTTAGAGCCATTGACCAATTTGCTATAAAACAATGAAACATAGGTTGTCATGGGATTCTCATGAAACATTATTTTTTCTAATTCAGGGTGTAGAGGTCAAGTTCAAGAGATTTGCGTTTTAATACTGTGAACACACATCTACTGCTCTTTCACTTTAAAAAGACACAAATGAATGCCACAATATCAGTAGCACAGTGCAATTAACAAACAGCCAAACTGACTAAAGAGGGCAAATTAGTATGAGAGAGAGCCAAATAAGAGTGTAAAATTGAGTAAAATATTGACAATGAGAAAACACATTATTTTCATAATGTTAAACGCAGCACAAACAAAGTGAAATTAGATGGAAAACAAGTAGAGACAATAATAAAATGTATGTAATTTAAAAACTACACACACACACACACACACACACACACACACACACACACACACACACACACACACACACACACACACACACACACACACACACACACACACACACACACACACACACACACACTAAAAACATGTTTTTTGAGGTCTTCAATGAAACTTGTAATTGATTGCATAATAGCTAAATAAAAGAATTAATTTGTTTTTTTAACAATTAATTAAGCTACATTTTGTGCAACATTCAAGTATATTTTTTAGAAATTTATTGTTTGCAGAATACTAGGAGGCTTTCCAGAAACCAAACCGCTCTATAGGCTATTTCTATCCATGTCCTGCAAGCTCTCAGAATCAGACGTACATCATTCACTCCTAAATGCACAAATAAAAAATGAATAACTTATAACTTAAAAATGCAAAATGCAGCACATAAACTAGTGCAAATTAGGTTACAAACGTGTAGAGGTGATTATAGGGTGTGTGCAATTTTAAAACAACAAAAAATAGGTTTAAGACAAGATTTTTGGGGGGTCTTCATCATCAATATTGATTGATTTATAGCATCCTTGCTAAATACTTGGTATGTTTTTTGGTATTATATTTTTTGTCTTGTTTTCCCAATGACTAAATAAAATAATTGCTGATCTTAAACTTTTCATTAAACTTCTTTTTATTTTGCAAATTTTGATAAATCTATTGTCTCCAGAATACAATGATGCATTCTCTGTAGAACATTTTGGTAAGACTTTATTTTGATGGTCCTATTGCACATTTTGTTGACTAAAAGTTGCATTGAAACTACATGCCAATTCATTCTCATTTGTGTATTAGTAGACTGTCTGCTCAATATCTGTTGATACTGCTCCTTCAACAGACATTTAAATGGCTATAAGAAACTTTGCAAAGTACATGCCAACTTACACTAACCCTAACCCTAACCTCAACCTTACAGTCTACTCAAAATCTAATAAGAATTAGTTGGCATGTAGATGCAACGTAACTTAAATTCAACAAACGGACCATCAAAATAAAGTGTGACCTCCAATTGAATGTGAAATAAAGAATGTTAAAAACAAAAATACATGTCAACTTACCTTAACCTGACAGTTATAGCTACTTATAATCAAATGAGAATTAGTTGGCATGTAGATGCAATGTAACTTAAGCTCAACAAAATAAGTTAAAAGGACCATCAAAATAAAGTGATACCGACATTTCTATCCATTTCAACATTTTCATCAGTTCTTGCAAGCTCGCAAAACCAAACAAAAGTCATTCCCTCCTGAAATGTAGTGTAGTGACAGATGTAATGGAAAATACCTGTGGAAACAGAGGTGTCTGATCCAGAACTGGTACTACTGCTGGAGCCATACTTTTCCATTAATTCAGTAAATTCCCTCCTAATAAACAAACACAGACACACAAAATCAGTCTTATTTAGAGTCACCCTTTCTGAAACCTTCATTATCCAATTATTAAAATTGGAGAAATTTTCCTCATTAAATCATGCTTGATTTGCGTGTAAGAAAAAGTGCTATAGAATCTTATCTTATCTAACAGTGCCTTGTTAGTTAATTTGACGACTCCCATTAAATGCAACTTCCTCATTAGTTCTCAAAGAAGCTTAGAAGCGCTTAATTAGATTACTGAAGTAATCACCGATAAATTGGAATCAAAGTTAAGAGCTGGAGCCTTTCCAAATTAGAAATGTGATCTAAGCAGTAGACTTTTTTGACATCATATTCTCAGAATGTTTCCTGTCCCGACGCAGTTTGAGGTGATTGATTGCCCATTAATTACAAGTGTAATCCTTTTACACCGTTACAGCTTAAATCCTGACCTCAGCTGGTTCAGCTCAGGGCGCGTATGACAGACATGCGGCCCAAATACGTCAACAGCTGTTCAGCCGGAGTACAAAAGTGCTCATCAGGAAGTCACTGAGACCAGCAAAATGCCAGCTCTGTTTAAACTGAGACAGACAGAAAGAACTTGACAACTGCCCAAATCCGAGACCTGGGGCTAAGCAGACAGTGACCAAACAAAACAATCACAGCATGTGACCTCGAAAAATTATTCAGCATTGCGGATCGGCTATAGCTCAATTCTCCTAAAATGACTTGAACTAAAAGAGATAAAGAAAACACAATCATAAAAAAAGAACAACTCACCAAGAAAAGAAGCAGCTAAATTCATGATTTATGTTCTAGTAAAGTAAAGTAGAGTCTTTTCATGATATCTCACATTCTTTGGTTGTTGTTGTTTTGTTTTTGTTTGTTGATAAGCATAATTTGTACATCTTTTGAGAAACCACTGTATCATGAAACATTGATCAGCTTCTTTCATATCAAAGTGAATTTTTATATAAGTAAAATCAATTAAATTGACAGTAATATTTATGAGACTCTGGTGTTGTTTGTTTGAAATAAATATGTAGAACAAACAATTTTTGAGCAGCTATAAATCTAATTCTTAATCATTTTCATTCATTTGTTTAATTATATGTTGTTATTATCTTATAATGTAATGATTTTTTTATTTAATGCCATGTCAGCCACCAAGGCTATTTTCATGGCAAGAACATTTCAAGAATAAATATACATTAAAAACAACAAATAAACGAATACATAAAATAAATAAGATTTTTTGTGTCAATAGAGGATAAAAATTCTACAACTTTCCCTGGTGTCACTTTGTTAAAAACGTCCATAAGAGAGTTCATTTAATAAAAAAAGCCTTCTGAAATCATTAAAAGCAGGACAGTCGATCAATATCAAAAAGGAGACAGGGCTTTTTCTGTCACAGACCCTCATCTGTGGAATGGTCCGCCTTTAGATATCAGGTCATGCTCTTTCCTTGGTGCTTTTTAAGTCTCATTAAAAATAATCACCTTCTGACTCTTGTTTAGATTATAAACAATTAATTTTAATTTGTTTTACCGTTTTCGTCTATAAATACAAGTATAGATTTTGTATGTTGATTGCTTTGTAAAGCACTTTGGTCAACATCTGTTGTTTTTAAATGTGCTCTATAAATAAAGCAAAAGCAAAAAGCAAAAGCAAAGTCCAGTAAAATGTGTTTTACAATAAAGGGAATTGTAAAGTACAAACTTTTTATCTTTTAAATGTAACTTATATTTTAAATTTGGATTAAAATGATCAGGTTTGAAATCATGTTTTGGTGTAATTGACTGTTAGATTTTTTTTGATCAATCAAAAATGAGTAAATTCAGTAACAAACACAATTTATTTTTTCTTTTTCATTCATTAATAAGATTTTTAAATGGTTTTGTTTTATAAAAGTTTCATCAACATTCTTAAGGTCCAATCCTTCCAGATGCAAACATCTAAACAGAATTTTCTTGTTCTCCTTTAAAGTGGAATGAACCACCAACTACTCATATATTTTACACAGCAAAGGCCCTTCCAGCCGCAACCCAGCACGATGCTGGGAAACAAAGTTCTCATTCAACAAGTGCCAAAATTCTTAATGAAGTGCTAAAGACTTTAATGTTCTTAAGTGCATTAAGACTATATTTAGATGTAAAAAAAAATCAAGACGCTTGTGTGTCGTGTGTACTCATCCATTTATAGGATTAAGTATATGATGTCCAGCAGAGCACATTCTGTACTTGGTTAAAGGGATGTTTCTTTTCTCCATTCATGACCCTGGACCACAAAACCAGTCATAAGTGTGAATGTTTTAAAACTAAGTTTGTATAATTCGTTAGAATAGAACAATATTTGTTTGCGATACAACCATTTTAATATAAAAACATTTTTGATTCAAAAACTTACCTTTAAAGTTGTACAAATTCGCTTTCATCGTTACTTGATTATAATGCCAGAATGAGTTGTTGCTCATACAATGTAACCACAGAAGAGTCAGGCTTTAAATAGGAAAATTATCAAAACACTTTTTTGACATTTTTGCGAAAGTTGGTGATGGTCTAATCCAATTTATTCATCTATGCTAAGCTAAGCTAAAAATTCCATTCTAGCTAAATGGATTTAAATATGGTAAAACTTAACTGACTTGATGACTAACTCTAGGTGACTTGTAAAATGAGCCTATTTCCAAAGAGAAGAGTGTTGCTTTAAGTCTGGTTTTGGCGTCTGAAGTCATTCATAATTAGGTAAAAATATCCCAATTTTTAAAAATCTTACCTGGAAGCGTCGTCACGTACTACCAGTAAAGACATGTGATTTGTAGCTGATGCCATTCGAAGAACCTCCACTGCCCTAATAAAACAACACATATACAGTTGAAGTTAAAATTATTAGCCCTCCTGTGCCTTTTTTTCTTTTTCAAATATTTCAGTGCAAGGAATTTTTCACAGTATTTCCTATAATATTTTTGCCTCTGGAGAAAGTCTTATTTGTTTTATTTATCTAGAATAAAAGCAGTTTTTATTTTTAAAAAGCATTTCAAGGTCAAAATTATTAGCCCCTTTAAGCGATATTTTTTCCATTGTCTATAAAATAAACCACTGTTATACAATTATTTGCCTAATTAACCTAGTTAAGCCTTTAAACGGCACTTTAAGCAACAAGTACCTTAAATAATCTAGTAAAATATTATGTACTGTCATTATGGGAAAGATTAAAGAAATCATTTATGAGAAATTAGTTATTTAAACTGTTATGTTTAAAAGAAATGTGTTGAAAAAAATCTTTACATTAGACAGAAATAGAGGAAAAATTAACAGTGGAGCTAAAAATTTAGGAGGGATAATAATTCTCACTTAAACTGTAATTCTCAATTCAGTTCAGTTATTTTAATATACTCCAAGCATCTTGTCATTTATTACATGCTCATACAGTAAACAATCCAAAATAAATTACTTTTCATTCGTAACACCCCGTAAATTCATGTTGTTGACATCTAAAATGAGGTCCCCTGGTCTGAGACGCCCTGAAAGACAGAAAGGGACACCATCCATCATCCCCAGAATCTAAATAGACGTATTCCAGCGAGATTTTGGGAGAAAGAACATACCGTCCTGTGCCGCGACGCCACCTGGCAAAATGCGTTTAATGAAAATGCCGAACTCTTCACCGCTCTGTCCCCTGTAGCCCCCAATAATCTTCACGCCTATCAAATTGAGAACAATGTTTTTTGGATTAATGGGAGTGACAGGACAAACTGTACACCGAAATACCTCAAAGCAATGGATATTCAAAAAAATATTATAATAAACTCACCAAGTCCTTTTTTACAGTCTGTAAACTCTAGTCTTTCCACAGCACGATTGATGCCATGAGGTCCCATTATTGTCCTGAAAAAAAAAAGAGAAATTCTTTTACAAATCGGTACAAGACATACTATCCTAAAGGGAAGATTTTCAGATGAATGTTCCAGACTGTTTTTTAAAAACACAGATTATCGAATGGATAGTAATAATGCGGTTGACCCTCTGATGCAAGAATTATTAAATCCCAGAGGAAAGAATATAATCATTCCTCATCTTTTTTTTCCTCCAAAATGGCTGCATAATGAGAGATTTATTACAACAGAAGATAATGGTAAATGCTGCAGAACAAATATATATATATATATATAAATGCTATATATATATAAATTTGGATGTAAAATTGCACCTCAGTGTTTTTTAAGTTTATGTTAAATTTATTTACTGTAATGATTCAGTAGGTTAAACCACTTTTAATATAGAAATATGAACGTATGAATTCAATGTGGTTGGAAAGGCATCCACCGCATAAAACGTATGCCAGAGTAATTGACGGTTCGTTCCACTGTGGCAGTCCCTGATAAATCAGGGACTAAGCTGGAAAAAAAGTGAGTGAATCGAATATGGGCTTTAAAAATGTAAAAGAAATTACAGTAAACAATGTGGTTGAAGCAATGATTCATCATAAGGCAAAATAAAGAAAAGCTTATTCAGAAAGTAGATTACTATGCTTGTATATTAAAAATCACAAAATGTAGGTAAATGAACTGTAGATAAACAATGAAAGCGTCTAATAGTAATTCCTTTATAGAAAGAGGGCATATATGCAGTCTGATCCCCATTGTATTTAATCCCCACAACAGACCAAAAGCAAACAAATACAATGCTTTACTTTAAAGGACATCAAGTGAGATGCTAATAAAACTCTGAAATTGTTCCTATTTATGAGACCAAGATTGTTTAATATTTTCATTGTAATTATGTAGCCTTTTTATTCAAATGTTATTGAATATTATTTTCTGAGTTTATTTTTTGTACATCGCTGCAAATAACTTTGGTAACTCTTTTTAATAATGTCTCATTGGTTAACATCAGTTAATGGATTAACTTAAATCAACATAAACATTTTAATGTTAGTTAAACAAATTGTTCAGAAGCATTATATATTAACAGATACAACCTTATATATTAGTAATATATTAGTAAATGTTAAAATCAGCATTATGATTTATAAATGCTTTAGTACTATTACTCATTCTTTTATTCATTAGAGCTAATATTCAATCTAAAATTTTAAGTATTGGTTTCAAATCTGACAAATATTTTTTCACTTAAGACTTATTGAAAAGGCAATTGCCATTCAGGAGACAGTTTGACCCCGGCAAAAACACACTACACAAAAATAAAACAAAACAAATCCAAGAATACAACTGAAATGAGCATAAGTGTAAAACATTTAAAGAATCTAAACACGATAAAATTAATTGCATTTATTGACATCTGGGGTCACTGAGGCCCTAAACATAACATAACGTACTATTATGCTGATAAATCAAATTAATCTAATCAGGAAAAGGTTTTAATGGAATAAAAGGAATTGTTTAGATGAACTTTTATGTTTTTCCATCACATTGTAGCATACATTTATTTTGAAGAGTAAGAAATGAATAAAATTAAGTATAATTAAGAGTCCATTTGAAAATGATCATAGTGTCAAAGTCAAAGTCAGCTTTACTGTCAATTCAGCCACATGTACAGGACATATATAGAATCGAAATTACATTACTCTCAGACCCTAGGTGCCTAACATATAATGTTAATATAAAAAGTAGAGTGTTAAGAAAAGGAAAATGTACAATATATACAATTGTACATAAAATGTGGTCTAAAGAAATACATAACATGTAGTCTAAAATGTAGTCTCTGGAATTAAGATTTATTAGCATTGGCTTTAGTCAAAAAATTTGCTTTGTTCTGTATTCTTCAGAATTTAAAATATAAAAGTTGTCATTTAGTGCACAAAATAACAGTTAATGAAAAAAAGTTGTCTCGTTTTTATATGTTTAGATACATTTTTAGAGCCCAATACCAACCTCAGAAATTTCCTCAGGAGGAATAACCCTGTCTTTCAATCAAAACAAATGAAAATGTTTGCTATGTTCTTCCATTTTCTGAAAAAAAAAAAAAACACATTTTATTTATAAATATGGGCGACGCAGTCGCGCAGTGGGTAGCACGTTCGCCTCACAGCAAGAAGGTCGCTGGGTCGCTGGGTCGCTGGGTCGCTGGTTCGATCCTCGGCTCAGCTGGCGTTTCTGTGTGGAGTTTGCATGTTCGCGTGGGTTTCCTCCGGGTGCTCCGGTTTCCCCCACAGTCCAAAGACATGCGGTATAGGTGAATTGGGTAGGCTAAATTGTGTGTGTTCGGATGTTTCCCAGAGATGGGTTGCGGCTGGAAGGGCATCCGCTGTGTAAAAAACTTGCTGGATAAGTTGGCGGTTCATTCCGCTGTGGCGACCCCGGGATAATAAAGGGACTAAGCCGACAAGAAAATGAATGAATGATTTATAAATATTCCTTCTTCCAGCGCAATGCTTTTGCTAAACTTATTAAAACGTGCCAAAGTCATAAACGGCAAACATTAGCTGAATACACAACTGTGCTCCTGAAACAGATGGTGTTTCACCTTCAGGATTTATAATCTCAAAACCAAAGTGCTGTTTTCGTTTGGTTGAGTTCATGTGGCGGTCAGCGTGAGCCGAACAGGATGAAAAGGACAAATGCTTGCACTTCTAACTAGCGATGTATTTAACCTGATTCCCATCTCTGCAATTAGTGTTCTTTGTTATCTCCTCTCCTAGACTGTAAACAATGCCCTTTAATCTATGCCACATTGAAAGCAACAAGAAGAATTAGAACTAGATTAAGGATAACGATAATCTTCCCCTTTGCTGCAGCAGGCAGATCTGGCATGTTTATTTACATCTTAAAACACCCCTGCGTGCCTTTTTCTGCTTATACATGCAATTATGAAGCACGAAAGGATTTGTGCTGTTAACGAGTCACCCTCAGATGGAGCGTGTGAGATTGTGTTACAAAAGATCCAGCATTAAACTGATCACTTAATTCTACCTAATCTGTCTTACCTTGCTCAAGCCATGTAAGGATATGCACTCAAGTGACTGCATCCAAACCATCCTCTCTAGGGTGCATCCTATTTGCCTTGCTCTAAGTTTCCACTTCCTGACGCACAACAATGATATTGAACTCCAAAACGACACGTTCTTAAACCACATATAATACCTAGTGGTGATATTAATGAGCAGCTCACTGAAAGCAGTTTTCTATGCACATACTGTACACATGCATGTGTTTTATGTAAACAGAATGTTACCGTTGGCTGAAATGTAAGCTTAACAAGCAGAAACAGAAACCTAAATGAGGCTACAAATGAGCATGAGCATTTGCTTAATCTACAATCACAGAAAACAAGAAGATAAATGGCTTTTCCTACCAGTAGAGGAGTGAAAGACCGTCAAAGTGTTCTGCTTCCACGGATTGTGGAAGCAGTGCCATCGCAGGTTCGCAAGCGACTGATGAGCTGCAGTGAAGTCGACGATATCACTGGGTTGGGGGGGAAAAAGCGGTGGTTCAAATCAGGTCAGTCTCGATGACCGAGAGACAGCAATCTAGCCAGACAGTAACAGACACACTCCTACCTATTCACTAATCTCTCCTGATACCCCGCAGTCACATGGTTTGCCTCACCTCTCTCTGCGCTGTCACAGCTGATGAGGATTCTGTCTCTCTCCGGAGGCAGGAAAGCTCAAAACTTGACACCGCGACGTGATGTGAAACGAGGGGACGCGAGTCTGACGCATGATTTCTGATGTAGGGATGCTGAATCTTGTCAGGGTCAAGTCTATTTAAAGGGAAAAGGGAATAAAGAAGCAGGCGTTAGCTTTGTATGGCTAAATGCAAGACTTATATCTTAAATATGAGCTAAATAGAAAGTTTTAAAGGGATGCTTTTTGAATAGAATAAATATATTAACAGCATTAGTGACTCTATCAGTGAAATAAAATATCCACAAAACTGTATAGAAAAAACAAACACTACACTTGAGTGCAAAAGTGCAGTCAGTACTTTAACTTTTACAAGAGCTGATTTAAATGAGTACTTTTGCCATCTTTGCTCACTTTTGATCAAGAAAAGTATATTTAAAATTAAAAATAAAATAAAGCAGCATGCGTTAGCTTTGTGTGCATAAATGCTGTACTTATAGAAAGGAGCTAAATAGAAAGTTTTAAAGGGACACTTTTTGAATGGAATAAATATTATTAACAGTATTAGTGACTTTATCAATTAAATAAAATATCCACATAACTGTATGGAAAAAATAAATAAATCAAATTAACAGTGTACACTTGAGTACAAAAGTGTAGTCAGTACTTTAAATTTTAAAAGAGTCAATTTAAACAATTTAAAGTATTTTTTCCATCTTTGCTCACTTTTGATCGAGAAAAGTATATTTAAAAAATGAATGTAAAGCATGCGTTAGCTTTGTATGCATAAATGCAAGAGTCATAAAAAAGAACTTGTCTAAAATATGAGCTAAATAGAAAGTTGTAAAGGGATAGTTTATTCAAAAATGAAGATTTTCATTATCATTCACTCACATTGTTCCTAAACTAGTTTCTTTTTTTTTTAACACAAGGGAAGATATTTTGACTGAAGCAGGAAACTTGTAACCCTTCACTTCTTTGACTAAGAATGCCAACGGTTTTCAGCTTTCATCAAAATATTTTTTGTTGTGTTCAACTCAAACTGTTTAGAAACAATGAATCTATTTTTTTCAATCAACTATCCCTTAACAACTTTATATTTAGCTCATATTTTAGATCAATTCTATATGAGGTTATGCATTTATGAATATAAATGTTTAAAACCACATGAGGATGAGAACATAGTGAGTACAATTTATTCTGGGGGGAAACTGTGTCTTTAGGAACATCATAACAACAAACACACATAAGCTACAGTTTGAATAAATCGTTTATTTTTAAATAATATAATCTTTTAACCCTTGTGGAATCTTAATCCTCCTAGAATGAAAGCGCAAGTGAGCTTAAATACTGGTGTTTAGCTATAGTGACCAGGAGGAGGTGCTTTGTCTTAGTCAGATTGAGATAATGCTGATATATTTTGTATTAATGCAGATTATTGATTAGAATTACTACTAGATAAAGGATACTTGTTCTATCAATACTATTTTTATTTTTAAATATTTAGCTGACAGTTTTAAATGTTTACCTTTACTGATTCACCTCAGTCATTTAAATGCATCACCAGATTGAACATAATACTTGCATCTTAACCTGAATTAATTAAAAGTATTGATCATACACGATGACGCAGTGGCGTAGTAGTTAGTGCTGTCGTCTCACAGCAAGAAGGTCGCTGGTTCGAGCCTCGGCTGAGTCAGTTGACGATTCTGTGTGGAGTTTGCATGTTCTCCCTGTGTTCGCATGGGTTTCCTCTGGATGCTCCAGTTTCCCCCACAGTCCAAAGACATGTGGTACAGGTGAATTGGGTAGGCTAATTTGTCCATAGTGTATGAGTGTATGTGGATGCTTAAAAAGTGCTGGATAAGATGGCGGTTCATTCCGCTGTGGCGACCCCGGATTAATAAAGGGACTAAGCCGAAAAGAAAATTAATAATTGAATGATCATAAACTACTGTTGAAGTTTTAGAAATGAAATTCAGTCTTACTGCTGTTAGCACAATGATCCTTTAGAAAGTTTATTCTAGTTATAATATTGGTGCTTAACCAATATTAATGGTTTTATAGTTATCAGTGATACATTTTACTTTTAGGATTCTTAAGTGAATAGTTCAAAATAACAGACAAACATGACATAAGTATTCATTAGTAATGTGTATATTAACATTATATTATATTAATGACATTATACATTTCTTTACTTTATATCTCTTTCAAAGATGGCAAGTACCAGTACAAATATAGCACTTTGTTACTTTACATATACTGTATTTTTTTACTGTTGCTACTGTACTTTGATTTTTCACTTTACAATTAATTAAATTAAAGCTTACAATGAGAAAAGCAAGGATACAAAGGGAGTCATCGATGTACACATGACTGATGGACTGTTTTTATGGGTAATACGATGCATTTTGGTTGATTGGATCACAGGAAAACAAGGGAGACTGGTCAAATCTGACGTTTAAATGCTTAGGACTGGAGTCTCTTGTCAGCGTTCTACCACTTTCTATTGATTAGGGTCTGTGAACAGTACATGTGTATGTAGCCTACTGTACAGACTTTCTTTGATCCTTCAGTTTAATAAGTTTGCACAGTTTTCATACTGTACAAAATATCTTTAACAATTATGTACTTCATCAACATTTGTACAGTTAAAGCAATTATTTAAAGAATGTTAATACTTTATGCATTGAGATTTATTTCTGATGAGTTCCTTATATATCATTTATAGTTTTAACATGTATTTACACTATTGTTTTTATCTAAATTCATTTAAGAAACATTTAAACATTGCAGGTAATTTTACTGTTTGTCTCTAAAAATAAAATTATCATGCAAAGGATTGTCGTGTGAAAAAAATCACGCAAAAAGTTTTGAAGGTTGTAATTATGTCTGTATGTTTCTTGTTAAATAGAATAAATATATTAACAGCATCAGGGACTTTATCAGTAAAATAAAATATCCACAAAACTGTATAGAAAGTACATAAGTGTAGTCAGTTCTTTAACTTTAACCAGAGTCAGTTTAAACATGAGTACTTTGCCCTCTCTGTCCACTTTTTCAATTTAATGTGTACTTGGTTGGTAAAAAAAAAAAAAAAAAAACATATGTGTGCATGCGTACACTAGCATAAACACTGACTGGCACGTGTTATAATAATATAATTTTTTTAAAACAAGAAGCTCAGGATATATTTTTGCACTCATTCAGAATAAATACAGGAATTAGAGATTGAAATTCAAGACCTTTTAAGACCTTTTTTAGGACTCTTTCCATACATCTTAAAACCTTATAAACACTTTAGGTTTCAACCGTAAACACCAGCGAGACTTTAACTTACAGTATAACTACTGAATATTAATGTAAGAAACTAATCCAAAACTAAAACATTATTCACATACTGAATAAAAATCTAATAAATCTAGCTAATTCAGCCGGTTGGTGCATAGAACTGCAGGAATAACCGTGTTTTCTTGATTACTGCAGTAAACAAAGCAGCATGATTTCAAATCTATTAGGATTTCATTGATTTTTATAAACTACACAGCATCCTGATATTCACAGATTTAATTCAGGCAAACTTTAGCATACATACAATAATCAAAAATTATATAAAAATTAATACCTTGCAAAATAGCATTTAAGACTTTTTACTACTTTTTCAGGGCCTTACATTTCTCTACAATGATTTATCAACTTTTAATACCTTGTAAGACCCCGCGGACACCTTGTCATTATAAATGTAAATAAATACAAAAACACTAGTTATATTAACCACCTTTCCAGATTTTGTGTAATACTTCTGTAGTAAATGATGATAAAGCAACAAAAAGTAAACTTCCATAAGTGTGATGCTTAGCTAAGTTATGCCTTAAGGTTTTCAGAACAACTAACTTTACCTGCACATTTTACCTTGAAACTTAATGTGGCCTAAGCTCGTATGTAGAAACAAAACTTAACAGTTACTTCCCCTAAAAACTACATGTACACCGCCACATTCCTATTCTATATTGTCGTTTATTAAAGGGTTACACATATATAATTGCACAACTTAATCTAGCTTTTGAAATCCGTCCTGTAACTTAACGTACAGGTCTATTTTGCTGTGAGAATATTGAGGAAATGTTTGCATTTAAAAAAGCTATTAAGCCGGTTCTTGAACGTCTTAATTAACATAATTCAAGTAAGACCTTAAGAAAGATTAGTAATATGTAATATACTGTATGTTTTGTAATAATCACATTTTCACCCATCAACGAGCACGTACTGTACCTCAAACCCGTTGATGCAGAATCCGCCGGAACTGTAGCAGTAGTGGCTTCTTGTTTCCGGGGAACGCAAATCTGTTGCGCCAAAAGGCTAGCGTTGAACTTGATGTTTTGTAACATGCTGTTGAAGGGTGAACAGTTTATGGACATAATCGTTTACTGTGAGTCAGGTAAGTCTACATCATCTTCTGTTTGGGAAGTCATGTTATTTGAAGTTTGGCTTGGTCACCGTAAAAATACAAAGCAACGTTTATGACTTGTTAACAGAATGGCTGAGCCTGTTAGCATTGTCAATTTTTGTACTAAATACTACAATTAAAAAGTTTGGGATCAGTTTTTCGTCAAGTTTATATTTATTTGTTAAAAAATAATGAAGTGTGTAAGTTTTTTGAGTGCAAACTGCAAAGCTGAATTGGCCATCCTTGCAGTGTTTAGTCTTACCTGAACCTTGAGAAAGAAATAATAAGCAGAAAATTAGTTATTCTTTATTCATTCTTTATTTCACTCCGTTTAATACAAAGGCATTGCTAAACTATCTTAACTTAAATTTAGAATTGAGTGTGTTGTATTTCCACTACATTTGAAATATAGATTAAGAAAAAAAGCTATTTAAAAAAATGCACTGTTTTCCCAGCTTCTAAGGTAGAGCTGTATTTTAACAACTATATATTCATATGTAGATATAACATGAAATAGATATCTAGGCATATTGATATTGTAATGTGCACATTTGCAATAGTCACATCGCAAGATATGCAATGTTGAGTCTGAATTATAGCTAAGCCCCACAGAGCACATCTGATTTATTTTTGTCACTGCTAAGCTAATAGAATTAAAGTTTATCATTTTATGTTTTTTTAACGCCT